GACAGCAAGAGCTGTCTCATTCTGTTCCTATTCTCAATACGTAGCACAGGGTTTGGTGCTTATTACAGTCTTAATAAATGAGGTTTTTTTCCCCCCATTTCTTCATTTTAAAAAATGCCATTGACTCAGATTCTTAAGATGTGACCTGCTTGCATTAGTGATACAAATGCTTAGATTCCTTAAGAGTCTGGCCAATATGGCGGGTGTTCTGATAAACCTTGTCTTTGGCTGTAAGAAGGCTTGGGTCAAATTCATTTGGGCAGAGCTCCTTAGGGAACTTGTAACCTCACAGGAACGATGCTAAAGCTTGTATAGGAAAAGCAGGGGATTATGTGGCAAGTGTGCTAATTAGGTGATTACATTCCACTACATCACTCGCTACTGGAAACCTCAGAGAGTTGGGGTTTTCTAAGGGGTGTGTTTTTGGTCTGTTATGTTTGTAACAAGAGAGTTTCAGGAACTGATGTCTACAACTTGACCTCTGGATTGTATTCGTAACGGTAGGCATCAGTACCTGATAGTTCTCCTGGTACAAGATAGTTCTGGGGCAGCGGATAGAGCACCGGCCCTGAAGTCAGGAAGACCTGAGTTCAAATCTGGCTTCAGACCAAACACTTGACACTTACTAGCTGTGTGACCCTGGGCAAGTCACTTAACCCGAATTGCCTAAAAAAAAAAAATCAGTGTTTTAAGTATCCCACTTGGAAACACATCTCCCCCTCCCTTGGAGCACACACTTCTGTGGGTGCTGGGTGTCCCTGTGTTCCCCAAGGCAGTTCCAATCTTATGTGAGTTTTACTCTGTGTGTCTTGACCTTTATTTCTGCTCTCTGTCTCTCTCCTCCTTCTTTGCCACTCTTTCTTCATATTTGCCAATAAAGCTTAATATTGAATTGACCCCCATTATAATTCCATATTATTCTTGGCATCCAAGCCCGTGAAGGGGTTTGTTTTCCCAGAAGTATATGATTGGCCCATAGGCCTTTTCCTAGACATAAACTGGGTCCCTGGAATGGACTTAATCTATTGTTAGCCATACCTACCCTGGGGGAGTCTGATGATGTGACCCCAGTTGGGGAAGATAAGGGTCATTAAGGGAACTCTGTGTCCTCCCAGGAGGGTCTCCCATAAGCCAGTGGATTGTCAGAAAACAGAAGCAATGAAACAGTTCTCTAAAGGAATGATTAAACATTGAGGAAAATGAAGACCCAGAAATCCCAGGCCTCGCTTCTCTCCTTCAGAAGGACAAATCATAAAAAATATCTATATAGAAAAAAATTATAATGATGAAATAATATACCAAAATTTTGGGGATGCAACTATAGCAGTCCTCAGGGAAAAAATCATATCCCTACAGACATACGTTAACAAAATAGAAAAATAGAGGATTAATGAGATACGCATTTTAAAAATCAAAAAGTGAACAAACCTACAATAAGCATAGAAGACGAAATACTTAAAATTAGAGGATAAATAAACTGGATATCAAAAATACATAGAAATGATAAAATCTAAAGACCATTCTTTGAAAAGGCTAATAAAGTTCATAAAAATTTAGTCAGAAAAAGTGAGGGCAGGAAATCAAATGAACAAAACAGCCAGAAGATTCTCGTACCGCTATCCGTTAGAAATGCTGAGCATGAAAGCTTCCTGGGTCACCACGCTTAGGCCAGCCAATGTTGTAATGTTGTGGTGTTGTCATGAGGAGCCATACTTCTGTCTTTATTTTGTATGATGTTTCGTTATTATATTTTGTATGATAAATAACACTTATACATGATACAAAGTAAAGAATAAAAAATTGTTTAGAGTCAGCTCAATGGCTCAGTGGATAGAGTGTTGGGCCTGAAGTCAGGAAGACCTGATTTCAAATCTAGCCTCAGACACTTAATACCTGCCGACCACCAGTTTCTTTCCACAGGTGTGGAGACCCTGGGCAAATCACTTCACTTCTGTCTGCCTTAATCCACTGGGAAAGGAAATGGCAGACTACTCCAGTGCCTTTGCCAAGAAGACCCCAAATGGGGTCTCAAGAGTCAGACAGGATTGAACAAGAACACCATAAATATTGTTTGCTGAATTGTGAGTAACTCATTCCTCATTAACTCCTGGTGGGGTGTGCCACACTCTGAATATAATGAAGTCTTTCTTCTGATTCATTCTGGCTTATTGGCATTAGCTAGTAGAAATGAAAGGAAAAATCCTACAACACCCCTCATCTATTTTTAGAAAATTGTTGTGTAATTGATAGAAATTCATTTTCCCTCCCTCTTAATCCCGCGTCCCATTGGGCGGGGGGAAAAGAAGAGAAAGAGAAGGGAAAAAAAAATCCTTGTAACAAATATGCGGAGTTAAGCAAAATAGATTCTATCACTGGCTATGTGTGTTGTTTGTGTGTATGTGTGTAAAGGAGGCTTGCCCTGTGCCCTGCAATGCCTAGGTCTCCTGACATGGTGGCACACTACCCTGAGTTCCACTACCATGTGGGTGATAGTAGCCATTGACATGGGTGCCAGTAGCCTCTTTTGTAGCCAGAATAGGCTGCATCTTTCAAACTGGCTAGAATGAGACAGTGCCTCTATTTCCACTGCTTCCTGAGGGTGATGGTCATAGCTCAACCACAGTTCAGTAACCATGAGCTGAACTGGTGGGGTTGGGGGAGTGGGGAGGTGGAGAGGAGGTCATACTATTTTAAGGCTGCTAGGTGGCGCCACAGTGAATAGAATGCTGAACCTGGAACCAGTCTCATAGACTTAGCAGCTCTGTGACCCTGGGCAAATCACAACCTTCCTCTGCCTCACTTTCCTCCTCTTTTAAATGGGAATAATGATAGCCCCTTCTTTCTAGGTTGTTGTCAGGATAAAATGAGAAAATATTTGTAAAGTGCTCTGCACACTTTAAATTGCTATATAAATTCTAGGTATCGTCATCATCATCATCATCCATCCTTTGGAATCATGGATTGTGATTGTGTTCATCATAAATTCCTACAGCTTTCTTTTCTTCAGAGGGTGTGCTATATTTGGCCTCACTGCTCAGGGCAAAGAACTAGCTTCAGGGATTTACAGGAAATATGTTCTTGGAAAGGTAGTACAATATGAGCTTTATTATTATTCCACATAACAAGCAAAAAAAAAAAAAGAAAGAAAGACAGAGGTTTGGTCCACAGATGCAAAGGAACTCACCCAGCCTGAGGGAGAGAGAGATGTGTGCAGCGGCAGATCTCAGTGGAAGCACTCACTGAGGGGCTGAGCAGAGAAATTTTTTTACACCTTAAAAATGGGCTTGTTTAAGAACAGGGAATATCAGATGTGGGAGGGGGTTATTCCTAGTCACACCCAGCTGTAGTGGGGAAATTCCTAGGTCACGGATCAACATCAAACTCCCGTAGAGAGAAGTTTCTGCATTGGGACCAGTTTGCAATCAGATATCCCAGGAATGGGTATGGATCCAAGCTCTTGGTGTCTTACCTATTCAGGAGCTCCGATCAATTAACTGCTTGACCCAGGGTCAGAATGAGTCAAGACAGTGAAAAAGTAGGAGCTGTCTGTTTTTCATATATTCATGGTCACTAGGACCATTTTACCTAAGTGACTCCCTATGGGAGTCCTATAATTTTTAATCACAACATCAAACACTATATTTCAAAAATCTCAACTATCGCAGTGTGGCCGTTACAGTAGTTTGCTCATTTCACTCTTCATCCGTCTACAGAAGTCCTCAAAATTGTTTTCCTCTATGAGGTTATTTATAAATTATTCTCCGGGCTCTGCTCATTCACCGGGCATCAGTTCATACAAGTCCCGCTAGGATTCCATGACACAATCCCCTTCATCACACACCTGCAGCACAACGGTGTTGACAGTGAATTTTGGGGGGCACACAACTGACTCCACGAGGTTCTGTACCAGCCATTTTGCTGGACATGGCCCCTCCAGAGCTGCACGTTGGGCGGCTGCTGTCCTTCACGCCTTCCTTCCTTCTCTTATCGGTACAAAAGGACTTCGCTGAAGGAGGCAGAGGACTCCAAAGTCCTGAGAAGGTCCTCGGCCCTGTCTGGTGTGACAAGACGGTTCTCTTCGATTTACTGAAACCAGCCACACTACCTAAGACACCTCCTTTACCTGTCGCCTGTGGCCAATGATAGCCGCTTTCCTCTAACAAGCACACTATTTTCTTTGCATGGCCACCTGAATTTTAATGAGTCTTTCTTTTCCTTTGGTTCGCACACTGTAGCTTCCTGAATGTGAGTGACCATCGGCTGCTGGTGGACAATGCCACACTGAGCGCAGCAAAGCCCGGCTCCTGCCCCATCCGGCTTCGTGGAACTGGGAAGAAAATTCAGGCAACAGCGGCGTCCCATCCCATTCGCGGAGCCTCGCCTTTTCGGCCGTTCCCCTGGCACTGCCGCCCCAAAAGAGCCGCTGTTTCTGCGCCCCAGCGCGCTCGGTCTGACAGCCTTTCGGGACGGAGCTCCACGATCCGGGTCCGGGGCGCAGCTCCACCAACGATGCACCAGCTTCGCCAACCCAACGGGGGTGAGGCGGCCCCTCTGAGTTGTCTTCATTCGCATTTCTCTAATGAGTAGGGACTTAACACGCCTTCACGTGGCAACAGACGGCTAGGGTTTCTTCCCCCTCTTCGCACCCTTAACCCTTCTCCACTGGCTGCGGCTCTGGGACTTACACACGTTCGATTCTGTCCTTAGGCAGCTCAGACGCGAGGCCCCCAGCAAGCAGGAAAACTCCATTTCCCAGAGGTCTCTGCAGCCTCCAGGGTCAGCCCACAGTGAGGCTCCACCGCGGTCACTATGGAAACGAAGACAAGCGGGCTCCGAAGACAAGAGCCTTCAGGGGATTGGTGGAGAGAGAGAGGCGCGGCCGGAACAGGCGGGACTAAGACGGCCTGTTGATACGTCACGTCCGCATCCTCGCGGGGCTCTACCTGTCGTACGGGGCGCGCGTTCGGAACCGTCTCGACTCCGCTCCGAGTTCGGCCTCCTCCCCCTCCGCCGCCGCCGCTGCCAGGGCCCGAGCTCCGCTCCCCTTGGAAGGGTGAGTGAGGCCGAAGGCGGGGCAGGGGCCGAGACAGGGAGGAGCGGAGCAGCGGGGCGCCTGCTTACCGCGCTTCCGGGGGAAAGGGGCGGGGCCGGGAGGAGGAGGAGGAGCCGGAGGAGGAGCCGGAGCCGCGCGTGCGCAGTGCGCGGCTCCTTCCTGGCACTCCCTGCCCTGGCTCCCCGTCACCCCAGCGCAACGATCCCGCACCCCTCCCCTGCTCAGCTTGCAGGGGTCCAACCCCCCCCTTCCCGGGCCTGGCCTCTGCCTGCCCCACCCCCGCGAGCATTCATGCAGTACCTACTGTGTGCTCATCCTGCAGTCTCACGGGTGCAGGACGAGAGTTCGAATCCTGCCCCAGACCTTCGCTTGCCGTGGGTTCTGGGCAGGTCACTTATCCTCTCTGCCTGCCTCAGTTTCGCCAGCGGCGAAATGGGGACAACAGTGGCCCCACCTCCTGGAGTGAGCTGGACGCCCTCCCTCTGTGCACGCGTGTGCGTGTTGTGCGGGCGAACGTGTACACGTGTGTGCGTGTGTGGGCATTCCCAGGTGTTGGGGGGCAGAGACCCCGGGCCGACGGGCTCTGAAGAGGAGCCGGGCTGCAGGGGGCCGAGCGAACGGGGAGAGGTGTGAAGGGCAGTGGGGTGAAAGTGCCAGGGGTCAGTTGTAAATGCACCTTGGCAGTTAGATGCATCTCACCC